GTCCACTTTATTTTTACCTCTTCCAATGTGGAACCAGGGGCAGAGAAGTAAGGAGATTTACTAATTGTCATTCAGAAGACTTACTGATACATGGACATAAATGCTAGGGGTTCCCATAGTGGGTTTTCATCATGATATCTTGGGGCCCAGCTAGTGGATATGCTGCCAAGTTCTCAGGATTATGGGACATAAATCAGAAGAGATTCCCCTGCCACCACAGAGACCAGTCCGTCTCCTTCAAACCACACTGAAGCTTCCCTTTCATCTGGGTTAAAAGGCATATATTCACTACTTCTGCCAACCCGATAAAGACAGGATTGATGCCATTGGGACAAAGTCAAACTCAGCAATTCAGCATCAAATGGATAATAAAGTGTAGTCTTAATAATCTGGAAAGTGAAATTAAATTACTGGAACAAATATTGAAAGATAAGGCTTTATGGTCTGGAGTTTCAGAGGTCCTTACTTTCTATATTTTGTGCAGTGGATATATGAGAATCCTTATTTCCTGGGCAGGACAAAATTTACAAAACAGGAGGATCTTCCAGTATCATGTGCTTTCATGAAAACGGCTTAATTGATTGTCTCGCTGCAACCCCCCCTCCTTTTTTTTTTTTTTTTAATCTTGTTTATCTTGGGCAAAAGCAAAATGAATGGCAGTTTCACTTACTGCTGCTAAACATGTGTTATCCAATTTAATTTTATAATTTTATATGTAATGTGTATGTATTTCTTAAATAACGCTAAGAAAGGGTGAAGCCTCAGGAGTTTTGTTGGCAGCACTTGAAAAAAACAAAAGGACAGGAACTGATTTGTGCTGTAGGAATGCTTCACTCAGCATCTAAATTTGGATCTTAATTGATAGTGCATTTATTCAACATTTCTTTTTTCCTCTCATGGAGCCAGATGTATCTTATTTTGTATCTTGCTGGAGCATGGAAAGACACGGTGTCACAGCCGGTTTCTATCTAATACAGAGTCTTTAGGAATTCATATTTCTCCTTATGGCAGAAGAAAAAGAATAGAAGGTATCTCATTTTTTAAGGCAACTTTTGAAACTCATTTTTACCTTAAGTGGCTTTTGTACAGGGGCGCCTGGCTGGCTCAGTCGGAAGAGCATGTGACTCTTGATCCCAGGGTTTGTGAGTTTGAGCCCCCTATTAGGTGTAGGGATTACTTAAAATTAAAATCTTTAAAAAAATAAATAAAGTAGCTTTTGTACAGAAATCACATTCTAATCAAAAATAATGATATGCATATAGTTTGGAAGGAGATGTTTTATAAGAGATTTGACTCTGTGCTAATATATTTTATGAGAAACATAGAAATGGTTTCTTAGAAGAGTCTGACTCGTGAGTCACCCACATGTTGTGTGTGTGATATTTAACGATATCATTATCTTCAATATCCTTATTGAAACTAGCAACCTGAAGACCAAATCAACAATAGAACACATTATTTAAAAATTACATTGCTTTAGAGCACTGCGCTGTATTCACAACCACTCACCTGACCCTTCTACTTATCTAAGCATCTCGAAGATTATCCCAAAAGGATAAAGGATAGTTGTTGATGTTTTTCCACCTTTCAATATTTACCTTGGAAACGCTGGATACTCTGGGCCATCCATTTATTTTTTTTGCCATGTTTTAGTAACTCCTGTTCTAAAAAAAATGTCTTCTTTTCCTTCCCTCATGCAAATAACCCTTCTACTGTCAAGTTACTTTCCAGCAATCCATATTCAGAATTTCATAGTATGGCGTCTCAAACATTCTGATTTTTAACTCTTTGATTATAAGGCCTGGTAGCAATCATGGACTAGAAACATTTTTCTCCTCAAACAAACACTGGTCAACATTCCAAGATCAAATGACCTATTTCAATTTGGGAAAAGATGATATTTGATTACAGAATATTCAGAATATGAGGGAACAATTAGTAAAGCTGTATCAGGGCATATGTGCATGAACTATACCAAATTATCCTATTTTGCCACTGAAAATATATTTGGACACATTCAGAAGATTTTAAGAGATTGATGTGATAGCCAGGTGTATAAGATTCCTTAAAGAAAAAGGAAATGTTGCAGAATCTTCTTTATAAAATACCCTTGATGGTTTCCCTGAAGCAAACTACATACCTTTAGTAGGGAACACACACACACACACACACACACTTATCATCAGGTTACCTTAACTTGGTTACTTGTAAAGGACATATTTTTGGTGCACATAAGTATTTAAGAGTACTACCACTTGGTTGCCTTTGGATATAATGAAGAGATATTGACATAGAATTGTGTTTTGCTACCAGGATATACCAGATGTTAGACAGTCACATGAACTTTCTGCTGGACCAAGAAGTCCACAGGGCATGATGGTCTCTAACACATCTAACACAGTGCGACTCTTGTATTGGAGGGCCAAAAGCCAAGAGGGCTGTGCAGAGCAAATATAGACACTGTTAATCATAAATCTCTAGGCACATACCTCTAGGTAATGCATTTATAGCATTCTACCCTTCAACCCCAAAACTTGCAACAAGGACCTTTGGTCAAGTGTTTGAAGGTCAAGTTTGGCTTAACCAGTCTTTCATCAATATTTTGCTTCTAGAATGTATTTATTAGAACAATCATAATCTCCTACAGGACTGAGATGTATGCTTTCTTACTTAACTTTTTAGTTTGAGTTCACCTCTCATTCTGTTTAGTAGAATTTTTCCAACCGTTCAGCCAACCCTCACAGCCAAGGGGAATTGTGTGCTGGGACTAACTCCGTAAGAATTATCAGCTCAAAGTGAATGAAGGTTCAGAGTCAGCAAAGAGAGAGCTCAGGGAACACAAATCAAATAGAGAAGGCAGGATTCTTCTCCCTCTTGGCTTATACCACTCTTCTCTGGACTAGCACTTGCTGGATATCCCTTAGTGGGTTGTTTGTTTGTTTTGTGATCTGCAGCTTGGGAATATATTAAGTACATTCTATACTGAATAGCTTAGCCAATGACAGCCAACATGTGTTTTCCCCTTTTTTGGGTCTTCTCCACAGTGAAAGTAAACGTGAATTGTGTTCCTAACAAAGGGAGGTAAAATACAAGGGAGGAAAAAGCTACTGGAGAATTAGTGATCTAAAAAAAAAAAAAAAAACAAAAAAAACCAAACCCTTATGTGGTCTTACTCATTTGCTTTCCCTTCATCCCAGTTCTCTGACCTACTTTGCCAGTAGTGATTGATTTTCCACACCTGGAGACCACAAAACCCTGGTGTGAGCTCCAGCCTGCAGAATTAAGTGGGAGTATATAAGCTGCTCCTCCGTTAGGAGATGAAGTTTTCTCCAGCTTGGGCATCACTCGTTTCACCAATGAGGTGGTAGGTTTCAAGGTCAGTAATAAGAGGTGTTTGTTTTCACTCTGCTTCACATAGATCAAGACAGAAGTCATAGACATACTATGTTAAAATATCAGGAGAGTGCCAAGGTACCAAGAACCAGCAAGTTCCTCTTTTACTTGGAAGCTAGTGTATGTTCTCATACCTAAAATTTCTCCAGTTCCTTCAAGTAACTTTAGTGAATTACCACTGTATTAACATTGCTATCTCTTGCTGTGCACACACCCATCATGGCAAATCCAAACTCACACACCTTTACAGCTCTGCAATCTGCATTTGAAAGAACAGAATCAGTTCTTCCAGAAGGACAGAAGAAACCATAAATCAAGTTTTCTGTAATAACAGTAACCCAATATTTTTGAAATTTCAGGTTCCCAATTCACAGCCTTCCACCTAACAGTAAAATTAGAGCTAGCCCTCAATAACAGGCTGATATTTTTTCTAATTATATTTCATGATTTAAGAACAAGAAGCAGGTCTTGTCAATTGTGTACCCACAGCACTAAGATCAGTGTTTAAAACATAGAAGGTCTTTAATAATTATTGTGGAATTGAACTGAATTTGCTGATACTCAGCACCGAAAATTATTTTTCAACTTAGATAATTTAGAATACCTTCACATTCTCTTGTACTTTATCTAGCCAGTAGAACTTAACCTAGGAGACAGTGAATAAATTATAATGAAACTTTCTTCCAAGTGGGATTGAATTTACTTCACAAAATCATTATTTTTTAATCTGAGCATTCTACAAAGGGTGCTCCTAATGAGAAGGAAAAAAAAAAAAAATACCACAGCATCCTTGAATATAGATCCAATACTCAAGTCAGCTAATGAAATAGGACACCATAGAGATTGATGCTGTGACTGAAGAATACAATATTTTTTTTTTCTTTCTTAGAAAGTAGGAAATCTAATTACCTTCAATTTTCTCACATTTGAGCCATACTACAAGTGAGTTGTGTCCAGGTACAGAAAAACCAACAATATTTTATTTATAACCTTATTTTTTAGTTTTTGAACTACAAATTCTGGTTCTAGAGGTGTTTAAAAGATCATGGGTTTTATAGATGCTCATATGTAAATTAATCTGTTTGCTTACTTTTTTTCTTTCTTTTTTTTTTTTCTTTTTGCTTTGCCATTGAATGGTTCTCCTCATAAATACAGAACAGGTCATTACATGAAAAATATAAGATCTTGCATTTTTTTAATCTTGTTCTCTCTTAAAAATCTATTTCTAATATTGTATTCCCCATTGGACTACTTCATAAGGGCATGAGGGAAAGAGAGAGGAAAAAAAAGAAAGAAAGACAAAATAGACTGGATCTCACCACTAGAATTCACCATAAAAATCTCAAAGTGTAACAGAATTCTTACAAAATTTCCTAGGCCAGTTCTTTAGGGACTTGAGATCTCCTATGAAAAATATGGCAACCAGGGAAGGCAGGGATGAGATGTGGGAAAATAGTAAATAAGTGCAGCAAAAACAGGTTCTGAGGAATACACATAATTTTGTCTGCTTTAGATCACAATAGAATTTTTAATAAATAAATTTCTTTTCTTTTTTGTTTTTTTTTTTGTAAAGACACTTTTTTGAAACAGTAGATTTAGCCCAGTCATTTGTGTCATTTTTAATAAACTGTCTTTTTTTTATTGTTTGTTTTCTGTAACTCTGTAAATGTTTTAGATTTGAGTCTCTTGTACATTGTCTTTAGAGTTCATTCGGATCAATAACGGTTCATGCACTGAACTGTGTATTGAATTTATTGTGTTAACTGTTGTTGTGTGGTTGAAGGGAGATTTGTAAGAGTTATAGTGATTTAGGTGCTCATGCTCGATAGCAGGCATGGGCAGGTGGCTTTCCATGGGCGTATCTCCTGTAATCTCATCATCAACATTAATGATTTCAACAGTCCTTGTTGGGGCATGATGGTTTTGCCGATGGTGCTGCTTCCTCATCTTGTAGAAAATGACCAGCATCACTGCAGCCATGAGTGTGATGGCCACAAAACAGCCAATGATGATTTTGGTGGTCTTCATGACCTCATCGATTCCCGGGATCCCACTGTTTATGTCAGTCACTGGGATGGTGAATGTTTTTTCTGTTGACCTTGTGCTCTGTGGCGTGAGAGAGGTGGTCACATTGGTGGTCTCCCAGTCGATCACTGGAGTGGGGCCCACGTTGTTATCTGTGGTCCGTGCCTCATCCTGAGAAGGTTCCATAGTCTCTACTGTAACGGTTGAAAAGTAAGAGAAGGGAGTAGTGGTTGCTGCAGTAACATTCAGGGTGGCGGAAGCAGTGGTATTTCCAACGGAATTACTCACCATACACGTGTACATGCCTGTATCTTGCACGGTTACATTCGTGAAGTTTAATGTGCCGTCACTGAGCACAGCTATCCGCACTTTGTATGCCCCATGTGTCATGACTGTTCCATTTGGAGTAATCCAAGATACAGAGGTCAGGGACGTGGAGGCCCGACATTTCAGCTCAGCTGCCATGCCCTCAGTGACATTGAGGTCTGCTGGGGGCTCCACAATCACAGGAGCATAGCATGTGAAATAATTCTGGTCAAGCTCCCCAATGTACCTCCCTTTCAGATTGGGAGGAGTGTTACATCGAGCACAACAAGCTGTGTTGGAGGGGGCCATGTCTTTTATCCACCAGCTGAGCCACAGTATGTCACAGTTACAGTTCCAAGGGTTGTGATGTAAGTGTATCCGCTCTAGATGATGCAAGGGTGTGAAGAGGTCATGAGGCAGTAATGTTAGATTGTTGTGTGCCAAGTTTATCTCCACGAGTGACTGAAGGTTATCAAAGGCATTCCGTTCAATCACTTGAATCTGGGACTGGATCATCCACAGTTTTTGAAGGTGCATCAATCCCTGGAATGAGCCAGGCCTGATGGCCGACAAATGATTCCCAGAAAGATCCAGCTCATCTAGTTTTATGAGAGGTGTAAGGTTAGGGATTTCACGGAGGTTGCACATGGCAAGGTTCAAATACCTCAAGTTGGACAGACCTTCAAAGGCACCTTCTGAGATGTATGAAAGCCTTTTCAATTCCCCTAAGTCTAGTCGGCGCAAAGAAGGGATTCTGTTAAAAGCATAAGAAGGAATGCTTTCAATGGGGTTGTTTCGCAACCAGAGCTCCTTCAGTTTAGACAAATATACAAAAGCTCCATTTGGGATGGTAGTAAGACGATTGTCAAAGAGTTCCAGAGTATTGAGGTTTGCCAGACCATTGAAGGCCCCGATTTCAATTGTTCTAATATGATTCCTACTCAACTGTAGGATTTCCAGGTGCCTCAAGTGCTTGAAGCTGTTCACTTTGATGATCTGGATTTGGTTCTCATGGAGGTTCAGCAGCCGCGTGTTGGTGGAGATGCCATCTGGAACCTCCCGTAGGTTTTTCCGGACGCAAATCACCTTGCTGAACTGGTTGCTGCAGGAGCAGACGGAAGGGCAGGTTTGAGCCCGCACCAGACCAGCCACCACAAGAAGTTGAAGAGCCAGCAGCACCACAAGCAGGGGGTCAAATAGGGCCCTGTTAAACCTAGGACCTATCATTATCTGCTGTGGATGTAAGGTCATCTTGTTCAACATTCATAATTTATCTGGTGTTGGTCCTTCTGGAGTTCAAATAGTCTGCAATATAAGAACAAAAAAGAGTATTAGATCTCCTCCAAATGTCTTTCTGGAGTAATGTCAGTGATACAGTATATCAGCTAAAGCCATCATTTCTCAGACTAAGCAAACAACAAATCTAATGTCCCTTATTGAGCGATGTGGCTCAATTCTCATATTTATAGAGAAAATGTTTCTGTACTTCAAATTAGCAGTCATCCACAGCCCATATCTACTAAATATGCACTCACAGAGGAATGAAAGAATGAGGTGAAACACCTTACTATAGTGTTTACCAACCAAGTATGACTTGAATACATGAGGACAAACGAGATGTACTCCACCAGAAGGTTCAATGGCCAGACCAGATTGGAAAAATTCAGAAAATAAGATTTGGGGCTATACCCAACAAGCTAAAAGCTCCCATGCAAAATCAGTTAATAGCTGATATTTTATTGAGAGTTCTTCTATGTGCCAGGCACCATGGGCTATAGACTTCACAAACAATCCTATCCAGGAATAGCTATATAATTTGCAGGGCCCAGTGCCAAATGAAACTGGGGGATGGCTTCTTAAAAATTATGAAGCATTTCAAATCTGTAACAACAGAGCATTAATCAAGCATGGGCCCTTTTGTGAATGGGGCCCTTTTCAATTTCATAAGTTGCGTGGATTGATCCTTTCTCTTCCTTACAGCACTTCTCTGAGTTAGGGACTTCTATAGTCTCCATTTCCAAAATGAAGATGTTTAATCACAGGGAAACTAACATGCCTTAGGTCACAAAGTTCATAAGTACAGAACCAGGACTCACACACTCATCTGATTGGTCCAAGAGCATATGATCTCAAATACTCCATGAAAACGTTTCTGGGAGAATGATGGCAAAGGTAAAATATTTTTTTCATGATTAGTTTCTCTAAAATACCTTTTTGTGGGGGTGACCTCAGCTGTAAACCCTGGCAACTTGACTTATAGCACCTGTGAAGATACACTGAAACTATGGCATACACAAATGTACATAAACTTTTAGAGATTTTCAAATACCCAAACTCATTATAATATAGCAACTGCTGCCTATAGGCAGACATACCACAAATTAAATCATTTCTATGAAACATAACTTTTACGTACAGAAGATACCTTAGTATAACAGAAAAATTATGTCTTGTACCCCTACTCTCACTGATTTTAAGTAGATTTGTGGGAAGGGGAATAAAATAACTCACTTTCTGCATCTCTTCTGACACAAGAAGAAATTTTAAAGGAGCTTGGGTTACCCAGTGTATGTCCCACTCTTATCATGCATTGGGTACTTGTATAATGACTTTTAAATCTCTCATCTCAATAAACAGTGTCTCTTCTATGAATCTCTTGGAAACAAACAAAGGAAAAAAGGGATGGGGAATCACTACATTCTAATTCAAAAAGGCACTAATTTAGTACTTATTATGTGTCACCTTGGACAACTTACTAATCTCTCCATGACACATCCTCCTCACTTGCAAAATGGGAATGATAATAGTACATAACCCCTGTGTTGTTGTGAGGATAAAATTAGTTAATGCAGATAAAGCCCTTAGAATAATGCTTCCCACATGGTAAAAACTCAGTAATGTTAGATATTATTATTACTGTCCATGCTGTTTCCCTTACCCAGACATCTTGCTGAGTACCAGGCATATAAAGATGAAGAATATCATCCTTACCCCTGAGGAAACGATAGTTCAGAAGGTGAGACAGATAGGTAAGCAGATGAATTACAATAGTATATATTCACTGGTATGAGACCCAGCCACACTGGGACAAAGGCACTGATGTCAGATGAGCTCAGTCTGTGCTGGTAAATCAGAGAATTTTCAAAGAAGAGGATCATCTGATCTAGGTTTTCTAGAAGAAGTTGATTTAAAAAAAAAAAAAAGGAAAGAAGAGCATTTTAGGCAAGAACCATCTTGAACCAAGACAAGGACCCATGAAAGATGCTAGTACATCCAGGGACCAGTAAACAGTTCCCTGTGGCATGAGAACGGAGGGCCTGGCAAAGAGACTTAGTTCTTTCTTCGGGGCTGTAGCAGCGCTAGACTGACTTTTCACACCACCTCGTACTATGATCGTTAGTCCCTGGTTCTGTTTCTCCCACTAGCCTGTGAACACCATGAGGACAGAGGCCATGTCTGATGGTTTTTCTCACTTGTCACACTGTAGGCACTGGATAAAAAGGCTGTTGTGTATGTGCAGAAACAGTTACTATCTAGTTACAACTCTGTGTATGTGTAGTGATAGGCACTAATATAGTAATCATGACTTTCTATCTTCTGTATTTTCTTTTTTCTTTCTTTCTTTCTTTCTTTCTTTCTTTCTTTCTTTCTTTCTTTCTTTCTTTCTTTCTTTCTTTCCTTTTTCTTTCCTTCCTTCCTTCCTTCCTTCCTTCCTTCCTTCCTCCCTCTCTCTTTCTTTTTTCATCCTTTCTTTTAAGAGAGAGAGAGAAAGAGAGAGCTCACCAGTGGGGGGCGTGAGAGGCAGAGGGAGAAGGAGAGAGAGAATCTTAAGCAGACTCCACACCCAGCATGGAGCCTGATGCAGGGCTCCATCTCACGACCCTGAGATCATGACCTGACCCGAAATCAAAAGTCTGGACGCTTAACCAACTGAGCCACTCAGGTGGTCCTATTTTCTGTATTTTCTTATGTTTTGGTATCTGGGGCCTTGTTGTTCCAGAGAGACCCCTCCACGGGCTAGCCAATTCTTAGAGATAGTAAAAGACTTGCCCGCAAGCATGCCTTTCATATGCAAACCAATCAATCTGAAGCCTATACCCCGACCACCTTCTTTATCAGGATCTCACAGGGCTAGCCAATTACCAGCCTGCTTACCCTGACTTCTCTTGCTTTTTCTCACAAACCATGATAAAGGCTCTTGCTCAGATTTTCCCTTGCTCCCTGTACCCCCCTGACTGACCCTGGTGCTTCCTTGTGTGGCCCCCATGTGGCATGGCATGCTCTCTCCTCTTGGGAATTGTGAGTAAAAAAAAAAAAACACACAAAAAAACTTCAATGACGATTGCCTCCTGATTTGTCTCATCATACAGAAATAATAATAAAATCTACATTTTAAAACAACTAATCACTAAATAATGGGGCCCTGCTCATTTTATTAATCTTGTTGATGGCTTTATAGGTCTATTCTATTGTCCCATTTACACTGTGACAACAATATGATTGGTAGGCTTCTCACCCTGAGCTAGATTAGGAGTTATTTTTTATTGTAAATTTAAACATGACCTTAAAAACCCTTGTAGATTTCCACTTTAAATAGAACCCTACTTAAATTTCCAGTAACACAACCACTGAAAATTTTTATTCATATGATTTGGTGTAGTTTTACATTTGCTCCCCTCTCTCCAACACACAATTTTTAGGTAATTGGGCATTTAGAAAATAGCACATAAAATTTCTGATACATTAACTGATGGGTGTTTTTAGGATTGGGGTCCCAGGGTCCTGCTCCTCTAGTTCACCTCCCATCTCCCACCCTATGACTCTCAGAATCCTAGGGTCTCTGGCAATAGAGATATAGAAAAACAACTGATTGACTGGACATAGCACAAAAGTGAAGAAGCTAAGTCATTTGCTTAAGATAAGCCATTTGCTATCCTTTTCTCCTTAAAATAAGACATAGCAATGGGAGCCATGTTCCATGGTCAAGGGAGAAGGCTCTGGTAAAGACTTGCTAAATTTAAATACCTGCTTAAACCTCCATGTCTCTACAACTGGAAAAGTTATTTCACTTCTCTTTACTTTCCTGCCTGTAAAAGAGAAACGCCACTGTCATCTACTCAAAAGGCTTTTGTTAGCAATATCACATTATATATATATCATATATACATATATATGTATATATAGTAAGTTTATATATAAACTTACCAGCTCATAATAAGCAATATATAATAAATATTTAAAACATATTCAAACTAAAAATAAAGTGATGGGACGCTCAGTTTCTTCCTCTTATATAAGATAGGAATAACACTTATATCTATTATTCAAAGTTATGGTAAGGATTAACTGCAATGATCAGAAGCATGCTTTCATATGCAAATCCAATACATTGCAATTAATTGTAGAGTGCATGTGTCTCTTCCTTTTCAATTCCCAGGCTGTCTTATTTTCTATTTCTTGCTTACTTCAAGGTCTTCCTGCTATTGCTATTAATGAGATTTCCTATAAATCAGTCATAAGTAACAATTTATGAATTATAGCTGGTTCAAAGGTAATTTATAACCCACAGAAAATAATGCTTGGTACATGCACTGAATCGAATAAACTACTATCAACAAAAGGTTTTCTATTTTAAAATCTAAATTATGTTACTTTACATTTAAAGCTATGTTTCAACACCTCTTTCATAAGATGTTTTTATCACATCAAAAAGAAATCAATTTTAAGGTACGCACTATCCATTATAATGTCATCTGACAGCATTTACAAATGGACCTGTATGGGTTTTGGATTAAACTGTAATACTTTTAGCCTTGTCCCAGAGGATATTCTGACTTTGTCAACAGACCTTTCTTCTTTCCCTACCCACGCTTCAGTGCACTGAGATACAGGGGGTGGTTTATTTAGCACAGTATCATTGCTCAGTTAGCATAACTGGGTCTAGGTATTGGAACTAGTTTGGAGCCAGGTAAAAGAAAGGTGAATTTATTAGCCACAACTACTCTCCCCCACAGAACACACACTCACACTCACATGTATCTGCGACAAAACCCCTAAATACTGAGAACCAAGACCACTTGCCCCACACTCAGCCTGGACACAGAGACCTCCAAACCATACCTTTCTGTTGACATAATCATGATTTTGCTCTTCCATTGTCTTTATTAGCATCTCTATCTTTGGGGACTCTCCTGTCCAAGCAAATGGTTTCATTGTCCCTCTAGGAACCTGCCCAAAGATCCAACAGTTCTTTCATAGAAAGCATCTAATGGCAGTCTATACTTAAGATTCTTTGAATCTCTCGC